CCAGTGTTCCCTGCCGGACCTCAACCACGACCATCCACGCCCAGTGTCCCTGCCGGACCTCAACCACGACCATCCAGTGTTCCCTGCCGGACCTCAACCACGAGCATCCGTGCCCAGTGCTCCCCGCCGGACCTCAACACAAGTACAAACAGAACAACAAACACACAACCACAAACACAATCAAAAATACACAACCACAACCACACAACCACAAACACACAACCACAAACACAACAACAAACACACAACCACAACCACACAGCCACAAACACAACCACAAACACAACCACAAACACAACCACAAACACACAACCACAAACACAAGCGCAAACAGATCCACAAACACACAATGACAAACACACAGCCACAGACACACAATCACAAACACAACCACAACCACAAACACACAACCACAAACACACAACCACACAACCACAAACACACAACCGCAAACAGATCCACAAACACACAATCACAAACACACAGCCACAAACACACAATCACAAACACAACCACAACCACAACACACAACCCGAGGACCCACGAGCAAAATCGAGAACTACAATACTCACGACCATGGCAACATGCTCCTCACTATGGCATCAAGACAAATGATTGACATGTCATGGTGGGGATCACTCGAAGTAAAGCAATTTTGTGTATGGGGCGGTCGATGACGTTTGCGGGGTGGGGCGGTCAATGCGCCGTGGTCAAACGGTTCTCCAGTCCATCCAGCTGAGCGGTTGGAGTGGTCCTTGAGATGTCCACGAAGACATCACATGAAGACAGGTGGATGGCATGGTCTTGAAAGGACGACTTCGTTCCTGGAAAACTTCACAGGCTTGAAAAACTTCCATCGTCAGTGAGAGGGAGTGTATACATGGTGTATGGAGTAAAAAAGATTGAATAGCCATTGAAGGCTTTGCTTTGAGCAGATTCCCTACGCAACAAGACTGTTCTCCAAGTTATATGGCAGTAATGTGGCGGCCATTGAATCAAGTGAGCGTGCTAGAACTGCATGTACTTAGAATCGGCAACATCAGTTTGGAATTGTGGAAGGTTCGCCTATATACATGGCAAGAGACATGTGACTGCAAATCATATGCGGTCATATGCGTCAGTCGTTGGGTCTGGCAACAAGGTGTCGCGGCCTCGCTTCATGATTTCGACCCTGTGCAAGCTGGGTTCCTTTTGACCGTCCAAAGCTGGGGAGATCATAGGGGAGAGAGGGTGAAAGCAAGCAAGATTGAACACTCTCCCAGATCAAATCCATGCAAAATCCCAATAGAAAATGCTAAATCCATCACATCATTCGATAAATCCATCAAATCCTCGGCCCTCGGCACGAAACTGAGGTTCCGAGGAGGTGGGTCAGGTGGGCAGCCGGGGCCGGTGTGGGTTGGAGGCCCTGTGGGGAGCTCCACTCAGACCGGTGACGAGAGACCGGTGTGCTCTCGTTTGCCTCACCATGTTGGAAGTGGCCAAGCACAAGTTGTCCCAAGTAGATTCCTCAAACGAACTTTCCCAACATAGCGGATGCCCATCCATTTGCAGACTAATTATATCGTAAGTATTATTTGCGGCACAAGGTTCAAAAGACTCGAGAACTGTTTTGGATAAAAGCTGGTAAACACTATACTCTCCTTTGTTGAGTGCAGGGGTCAAGTGCATCTCCCCTCGAACCGTTGACCTGTGGGCTGTCTTCAAACAGTGGGATGTCATGTCAATAGTGAACATCTATGTCCAGTGGGGGTCTGTGACCATTGTTTTGCCGATGGGCTATGGGTGAATTCCCTTCCGCCATGTATTTTTTGTATTTATTTGGTGGTGATTCCGAGTGACGCCAGGAGCACACCCTCTCGCTGGTGCCTTTGGGCCGCGGATCAGTGCCAAAGGCACCGCTGCAGGTGGGAAAGGGATGGAAAGGGAAGATAGGGAAGATAGGGAAGGTGAAGTCACGTGAAATCCATTGGACAGTCCCTGTGGCTCTCAGCTTTCTGACACATGAATGACCCATGCGACACCCTCGTTTTTGTTTTTTCCTTGGAAGCCCTTTAACGCGAGATGTTAAACGACCGGGTCAGGCTCTGGACGTGAATGAGCCGATCCCCGTCGAGGCACCTCCGAGGCCGTCCGGGGGCCCGACCCGCGCGGCGCCGGGTCGGTGGCCGGTGCCTTCGGGGGTTGGGCGCGCGCCGGTTTTGGCATCACACTTCAATACAGAGGGGAGAAAGAGTCCGGAGTCATTTTGGATCAGAGGTGTTCTAGGATCCTCTGAACTTTACACGGTCACGAGGACACATGAGGGCACATGTTGTGTCCACACCGTCGCCCCATCCGAAACACATCTCACATGGGCAGTCCGCTGTGTTTCAGGGTGCAGTCCGATGTACCAGTCCGGTAGAGCGGAACCCGTTCTTTCAGAACTCGATCAAGCAGAACGCAGCAAACAGGGCCCCATGGATTTGTCGGTGTTTCATCCGACGCCTCAAGAAGATCAAGGAATCAAGGAACAATAAGGAACATGTTTTCGATTGTTTTCGAATGACATGCAAATTTATGTAAGAATCATATAATAGTGAATCCAGGCGTTCTAAAGCATTCCGCCTGTGATTGCCCTGGGCGCCCCCACCGATCGACGACGTGGCGCCAGGGGCTTTTGCTGGCGCCCGGCGCTGTGCCCTGGACCGGTCAAGCAGGATGAGGTTGATGACTTGCAAGGAGCATCGCGAGCGTACAGTGGCGGGATGTGGGAAGCTGACATGCTATCAGACCAGGCAGAGAGAGAGAGAGAGAGGGAGGGGAGCTTCCATGGTTCTACCCAAAAGAATGTCAACATGGTTTGGTGGTAACTGCGCGAGATGAAAAACGACGGTAGTGCGAGGGACTGCACGTTCAAATTTTGTTTCAGGATTCTACACAGACTCACGTCAGGGTACCAAGCATCCAGCAACATCCAGCAACTGCTGGACAGCCCTTTTCGTGCTATTTGTTTTGTTCATTTGTGCTTTTTCCCTAGGGATCCAAGTACCTTCTCAGAAGGTACTTGGACCCTCCAAATCTACATAACAGTGTCTCCAATCACCTTCTGAGAAGGTACTTGGATCCCTAGGGTTTGGATGTTTTTTGCTATCATAAATCCCCTAACTCGAAACTCTTGGCTCAGTCTCAGTCTGATGGTCAGTCTGGAGTTTTCTGGATTGGTAAGCCAAGACCAAATTGAGAGCCGACCCACCACGAGAGAGATGAAAGGAGGGCGATTCCAAAGCAGCACACTGTCCCGAAATGAAACCAACACGCCGCACACTTCCAAAAAAAAAGTAGAGGATTGACGAGGTTTGCCTTTCCAAGGCTTCCAATGGTTTGATGGTTATTGATGGTTTACAGCTGTTTCTTTCTTGGACTCCTGTGGGGTCGACACCAGGACTCCCCATGGAGAATCCATCGGAGTGTGACGAGCCTGGGCGGGTGAAGCGCTTTCATGGTGTTTTGCCAACGGTGAAGCTGTTTGCGGACAAAAATGGAGCGGTGCCCGCCGATCCAACCTGAGGAAATGGACATGGAAATGGTCATTTTTTTTCCCCCCGTGGTTTTTCCATGTGTTTCCCCTTCGTGTTGGGCAACCGTGAAATTGAATTACTGTAATGGCAAAATCCATTGCTTTGCTGGGTTGAACTGACAGCGACCTGACCAGGGTCCAGGAGCATGCAACGAAATGAGCTCCAAATTTAGGAGTTTACACTGAATAGGTCGAATAGGTGGGCGACTTGCTTTACGAGTCCGTCGACCGAAGGTTGGGCCAGGTAGATGCAGCTGGAGTATACACCTAACACTTCCAACGGTTGCCCTGTTTGGAGACCTGTAAGTAGGGTAGGGTAGTCTATTGGACACCCAGACAGGATGACCCTGGTACCAGCCGTTCGAGGGGGTGGGTTTGAGTCGCCGGCGATGGTCCTTCTAAGTCCCAAATGCATGGAATCCAACGTGCAACTGAGTAGGTGCATGTATATATAACATTATATAACTGATTGGGGGCAAGTGCGAACCCCACTTGTATTCGTGTGTGTGTGCTATTTTCGACTTGTCTTGCCACCCCAGACCATCTCAGTGCCCAAACTGGCCTAAACGAAACGTAGTTCGGGATGACCTTTTGGCACTTACTGGGCTACCAGCCTGTCAGACAGCCTCTTTTGACTTGTTTTGCCCATGTGCTTTCCCATTCGCTGGCTGCCTTGGCTAAGGAGAAAGGTGAAAACGAGCTGGAGGAGGTCGTCCCAATGACGAGTAGCGGCAACGTGGGCTTTTCGACCACCAGCCCCTGGGACGATCCGAAGTGGGCTTGTCCACTCTTCCGAAGTCCACAGGAAAGCACTCCTACTTCACATGTATAACAGGACGCTACTAGGTTGGAGGCCATTGCTATTGGGTTGGAGGCCATCGCTTCTAGTAACAAGAAGCTACGAACGTAGCTCCTGGCATTACTACAATGCAGTTTTTACATGTAAAGAACTCACTAAGAAAAGACATGGAAGATGGCCATTGGGAAGAAATTGTTCCTTGATCATCTTCCATTTAGTGAGTCAGAGGGCGCTCACACTGGGAATGGGTTTCATCCTTTGAGTATGGTTAGCACACAAACACCAGCGAACCAGCGCACCGCAGCTTTGGCCTGTCCAAGATCGAACTAGACCCAAAGGGAGATGTTTACTGGTGCCAAACGGTACCCAGAAATCACGTGTTCTGCGTCCCAACCACGTGTCGAGGTCCTGGAACATGACTTGAAGCAGAAGTTTGTAAAGTTTGTATAGGTGCAAGAAGCGCTCCCCCGGTGTGAGAATGTACATAGCAACAACAGGAACCAGGCAGAAGAAAACAACCTGCTTCACTTGCTTGGCCCTTACATGCACAAATCCATACAAATTCCAACTCTTCCGCTTGGATCATTGCATGATTCCCACTCCTATCCAACCAACCTGGAAGTGAACCATGGGACCTACGACCTGTTTTTACCGCAACTGAGATTGGTGTTCGTCTGTCTGGCCTCGGTCTCGCCAGTGGCACGGGCGCCGACGGTCGAAGGTAATGAGATGGGCTTTTCCACCACGAGCGGCGACATGGTCATGCCCCGCATTTCCGAAGGCCCCCGCGTTCGGGCCGTGCGATCTGGAACGGCCGCACGATGCCGCACGCCTCACCTCCAAGGGCTGTGGAATCGGAGGAAGGCCTAAAGAAGGGATGAAGAAAGAGCTGGGCAACTTCGGGAGTGCTTTAGGATATGTTATAACATGTAATTTACTGTACTGATAATTATTGTACATAATAACTCCCTGGGATAAGTTGTGACATTGCTTGAGAAGGAGGCAGGACATGCAAGAGGAAGCCCCTTGTGTCATTTGCCTCGGACCGGTCACGGCGAACCGGTCACGGCCAAAGCGCCAAAGCCGCGTGGCCCGCGCAGGTTGCCCCAGCCAGTTCGGCGGCTCGATGGCAAAGATGCCAGAGCTGGATGATGAGGAGGAGATCCATGACTTCAACTTCTGCCACTTGGCCGATGCTGTGCTGGATGCTGCGCGGTTGGTTGGATCGTGGAAACCCTCACCGATGCTGTCTTGACATCCTGCATTGCATTGGGCCTCCCAATCGACCTGGATCATCCAATATAGGTGCCCAACAGACCTACTAGTACCATCTAGTACCAGACGATCTTTGATCTCCATTGAACATCCATTAAACAGGGTTTAGGTATAATTAAATCAGTTATTGGGCTGAGTGACTTGGGTTGCTGCAGTGGATGTCCACAGACTTTGGGCTGAGCGAAGCGGCTTCGTGTGGAGTACAAATACTACGTCTCATCCTGCAGATGAAGGGCCATGGATTTTGGAGATGAACGTCCCAAAGAACTGCTGGAATTCGGTTTCGGAGCCAAGAGTGGTTGTTTGGAGTGGCACCTGGGTAGACGCGCGAATCCTTTGGCTGACTGGCACCGCAACCACCATGGGCGTACGGCACCACAACCACCCAGGGTTCACCGGATGGTGGTGCATCCGCACCATTGACCGTTTCGTCGCCCGTTCTCCGCCCCGAGAACAGGGCTGTGGCTCCCGAGATCTGGGCCTCTGAAACACTCGGGGCGTGTGTCCCGACTTCGTCCGGAGAATGGAAACCATGAGGATATCGACCGGGAAGAAACGACATGAAACTCCCATCGAATCCCCGGCACGAAGAAGTAAGATGATGTGCATTCGAACCTGCTTTTAGAGATCACCCCAGAGGATTTGGAAAACAATAGGCCGTGGCAGACAATATATATATATATATCCTCACTCTGAAATTTTGGATCTTTGCATTTTGCCATAACAGTAGATACTGTAGTTTTGTTTTTGTTGGTTTCTTGAACCACGCAGCTCCAACAAACCCACCGGGCTCCAAACAGATAAGGGACACGAGTCCCAAGCGAATTCATGGTCCATAGATATCCATATATGATCATATATATATAATATATATATATATCATACCCACTAAAAGCCATTGCAAGGGGCCTGCGTCAGATCCTCGTCTTTCCTTTGTTGCCAGTTTTGAGCACTGAGGCATTTTGAGTCCCAGTTGGACCAGTAAAATGGCCTGGGAGTCTTGGATTTGGGGAGATTTGGGAGGGCCCCCCTCACTGATTGCGGCCCAAGAGTAAAGACAGACCATTATAGATCGATCTGAAAGGGGGTCCTCTATGCAGATGTGATGATACTGGGTAGAGGGGGACGGCCCGATCCGATAGATTTCAGTCAGATGATTTCGTTGTCACCCGCAGAATCCTTGGGCCCGGGCCCGAGGCAGGGGAGGGGTCCGGGCCCGAACCAAACCCTATCCCAAACGCTCCATGAGACTGCCATATATGCCGCCCCATTGGCCCCGACTTCAACCACCCCTGGCCTGATCGGCAGTCCTATGGCAGTCCCATCGGTCGCGTCTGGGTATGTTGGTTTCTTGCCCGGATTCCTGAGGGTCATCGTCCAATCATACGGGCCGAGCCGGGCCTTGCGTTTTGCTCCGCGGGAGCAAGGCCTCGGTGCATGGACCGTTGGTCGAAGGGGCAGACACTCATGGGACTGGAAGATTGACCTACATTGGGGTGGTTTCAGGGGTCAATGTTGGGGTTTGCTATGGTTTATTATAAGTCTACATTATATTGGATACATGGAGTGCCTGGGATTGTTGTTCCTCCGATCCTTTTGGAGAACGACTTGCCGTTTTTCAGCATGAGGCAACACTCCCCCCAAAAAAATCCCAGTCGCGCAAGTTCCATCCGGGGTTGCAACTCCCTCTCAGGACTTCTTTGTGATGTTCTTGGTGATTTTGGACTCCATCATCCTTCCCTTTCAGCTGTCCTTCAAACATGGAACTCCGGACGATGCCTTCGATGAGTTCTGGTTTTGGCTCACGACCATCATTTTCTTCACGGACGTCTTTCTCTCCTTCAACACGGCCGTGGCCAACCCATCGGAGCCAGGGACATGGACCTTTGGCCAGAGTTGTTGGGACAAAGCTCGCAAACACGGTGGAAGCCACATGGTCACATGCAGCACAGATTTCTACAAATGATTTTACAAATAGGGAAATAACGTGGGTCACTCATGTTCCAGGCGCAATTATATATTATAGATTATATAGGATTAGATAATGCAAGACACAACATATGTATATATAGATATTGTAGACATGTTTATATAGACACATACACCTACCTAGACCAGTGGAGGTAATTTTCAGGCAAAGCTCAACCAAAGCAACGAACACCCACATGTTTGTTTATTTTTGTAACTGTTGCTTTCTCTTACTTCTGTGGAGCACTTTTGATGACACGGGGGAAAGCAGTTGTGTTTGCGCCCGGTGTTGGGGTCTGCCAGGCGGTGATCAAGCAAGTAAGCCCCACAACTGCATGATCATGGCACACACATTTGCTAAGGGCATTTTGATTTGCGCACGTTCTGCTTAAGCAGACAACACGAAAAAACTTTGTACAGTATATGTGTTCATGCGTCTCAAAATGTGCTTCCAACACGTTTTGGTGAACAAAAGGCGTTTTGGGGCTCCAACATGGTCCAAAAATTTCCCAAGGATCAGTGAGGAATTTGTCAGAAGACACAGATGATCAGTGTGAGACTTGAGAAATCCTGGCTATGACTGTTCTAACATTCGCGGAGTTGCGCAGAGCGTGACATAGCACATATTAGGGCCTTCCAAGTATAGTACAGATGCATTGACGTTAGGATCTTGACTGTGATTGCATGCAAGGCTTATTCCGCACTCAACGCGCTCCACATCCACATCATAACGCCCATTGACAAACACAGAACGAGGGGTCCCCGTAAGTTCAACGCTCTATAGGAGATCCGCCAAGTTGGTTGGGAACCGGTTTTCAGAGGAAGCACCAAGAACATTTGTTGTGGAGAAGCTTTTATACACCCTTTGTCCAGGAGCTGAAAAGCGGAATGATCACATCGCCGGTCCAAAAGACTCAGGTCTTGGATCATTGGGATGCGATTGACCAAGCTGGGATGGAGTCGGAGATGTTAGGATAGGATTGGAGTGTCGATTCTTGGAGCAGTCCGGGACTACAAGACTTGACATCAATCCCCAGAACCTCCAGCAACCCAAAATCCGCTTCATCTCTCCGATGTTCGGACTTCCCAAACTTCACTCATGACCCTCCCCCAGGATCATGAGCCGTTCGAAGATTGCGTGGATGTATTTGCGCGGATGGTTCTCCATCGACTTCTTCAGCACCATCCCCTACGGCCACCTCGCCGCCGCCTTCGGCAACGGCGAGTCCGCTGGAGCCGTCGGACGCCGGGCATCCGGACCGGGGGCATCGGACTGGAAGCGGTCCAAAAGGCCTGGTCCCAGGCAGGAAGAAACACATGAGAACACCATATAAACATGTTGACATGTGTGTTTGTAAGTGAGCAGCTTGATTTTTGTGCATGGGTTTGAAGGATATCGTGTATTTGTAACTATAGTTGACTATTTATATCCTACCTGGCCAGTAAGGAAATGGATTTCAACTTTCGACTCATTTGGGGATGGGTCAAAACTTGGAGCCCTTGTCCACCATGTAGCTTGACCTCCCAGGTAAGTCAACCCGGTGAAACCGAAGGGTCGTGGGAAGCGCCTCAGACAGAGTCCGCAAGTTTCGTTGGTAAGTCAACCAAGGCTTCCATGGTGCCATGACCCACAGCCATTTCAGTCACTGAGTGGGTGCAAAAGGGGCTTTTTTGCGCCTCAATCTATGAAGTGTTTTGCTCCTGGTGCTTAATCCTGGCCGAGGATTGCTGAGAATGCTCAAGTTCTTGCGCATCATGCGGTTAATGAGGATGCTGAGGATGTCAAAGCTGCGAGCAGTCTGGGAGCGAGTTGAAGTACGAATCGGCTCCATTGCCATCATCCAGACCATCATGCTCTCTGGCATTTGCTCGAGAACTCGTGTTAAACGGAATAACTACTGGTTCATACCGCCTTTGGCCGCGTATTTCATACCAGGAACGAGCTGGACCCAGCAGTGGGGCCACGAAAGAGGCAACGGTTAATGATACCTGAAACCAGCAGTGGGGCCAGGAACGAGCAGCAGTGGGGCCACGAAAGAGGGAACGATTTTTGGCCTGAAACCAGGAAGAGTAAGTACTGCACTCCATATTCAGCCACGTTTGTATCACGTTTGTTCATGTTCCATGGTGTGCCACAGAACATGACCAGAACATACCAGAACCATTACGTGGTGTTCTTGGTAAGGAGCCAGATGCAAGCGTGTAAGTGGTTGTGCGTTTGCGGAATTTTATGTTGCTTGATACAACTCAAATTGAAGGCACGATCGCCACCTCAAAGTGATCCCCCACCGGCGGGACCATCAATTTTTGTGGCTTTATATATATATATATTATATAACACCCCCCGCCCCTACCCCACCTTGCCGCCCCCAAACCATGGTGAACATCATGGCATGCCCGTTCCGTTGACGTTGTTATTTTGCCGGGGTCGTCCTTACACACCGCCCCCATTTGGCCGCCACCCTGATGCTTGGTGCATTCGCTGAGGTTGATGAAGGTGCTCCTTTTTGTGGTCGCCATGTGCCATTGGAGCGCTTGTCTCTTTTGGGTGATTGGCTGCCAGGAAAGCCTTTTGACTGACTTGTCCCTCGGCCAACTTGGTGAAGATAGATTCTGGCGGACATATAATTTTCCCCCGCCCTTCGGGTGACGCCCCGTTTTCGTTGGATTGTAGTTAATTGTTTAGAATGTGCTTTCAGCTGCTGAAACATGTTGACCGAGCTCTTTGACCTCGCCAAAGTAGATTTGCACGCTCGTCGTATCATGTTCACATCCCATTGTGTTATTAAGTTTGGCTGTTTCGATGTGTATGAACCATCAATGATCAAACATCTAACAGAACCCACCCGAAAAACACATTCACCAGTCAGGCTCCGCAAAACATGTCAGGCTCCCACCCGAAAGTGCTGCGCAATTCTCTCAGCTGCAGCACTGGACGACTCTGCCACGCCGCGATTCGCCCTACGTAGGCGGGGCGAAACGCGACGAGAACCGCGTTCATCCAGGCGCTGGAAGGAACGATGTGTAGGAACTAGACAGCCAGACAGACAGACAGACAGACAGACAGAGAGAGAGAGAGAGAGAGACAGATAGATAGATAGATCTGTACATAGATAGATAGACAGACAGACAGACAGATAGATAGATCGATCTGTATATAGATAGATAGATAGATGGATAGACAGAAAGCCAGATAGATAGATAGATCTGTAGATAGAAAGATAGACAGACAGACAGACAGGTAGACAGACAGATAGATCTGTAGATAGATAGATAGATAGACAGATAGACAGACAGATAGATAGAAAGATAAATAGACAGACAGACAGATAGATAGATAGACAGATAGACAGACAGATAGATAGAAAGATAAATAGACAGACAGACAGACAGACAGACAGATAGATAGATATGTAGATAGATAGATACATAGATAGACAGACAGACAGACAGATGGATCTGTAGATAAAAAGAAAGATAGATGGATAGACAGACAGATAGATAGATAGATCGATCTGTAGACAGATAGATAGATAGGTCTGTAGATAGATAGACAGATAGATAGATAGACAGACAGACAGATACATAGATAGATAGATACATAGATAGGTCTGTAGATAGATAGGCAGACAGACAGACAGACAGATAGATAGATCTGTAGATAGCTAGACAGACAGACAGATAGATAGATCTGTAGATAGATAGATAGACAGACAGACAGATAGATAGATCTGTAGTTAGATAGATAGACAGATAGATAGATAGATGGATATGTAGATAAATTGTAGACAGACAGACAGACAGACAGACAGATAGATAGATAGATAGATCTGTAGATAGACAGATAGATAGATCTGTAGATAGATAGACAGACAGATAGACAGGGAGACAGACAGACAGATAGATAGATCTGTGGATAGATAGATGGATAGATAGATAGATCTGTATATAAATATGTAGATAGATAGACTCATAGATAGATAGACAGGCAGATAGATAGATAGACAGGCAGACAGATAGATAGATCTGTAGATAGATAGATATACAGATAGATAGACAGAAAGGCATGGTCTGTAGATAGATAGATTCATAGGCAAATAGATGGATAGATCTGTAGATAGAAAGGCAGATAGATAGGTAGATAGACAGATAGATAGATAAGTAGATCTGTAGATAGATAGATAGATAGATAGGTAGATAGACAGACAGACAGATAGACAGACAGACAGATAGATCTGTAGATAGATAGATAGATAGACAGACAGACAGATAGTTAGATAGATAGACAGACAGACAGATAGATCTGCAGATAGATCTGTAGATAGATCTGTAGATAGGTCTGTAGATAGATAGATAGATAGATAGATAGGTTGATGGATAGATACATTTACATAGATACATAGATAGACAGACAGACAGATAGATAGATAAATAGATGTCCATATCTTTGTTTATATATACAGAGTCTATATGTATGGGAGGATGTGAAACATGTGGAGGATCACCCGCAAGGGACGGATGCTTGACATGAAACATCTCCAAGATTGATCCAAGAATACACGTGCAGTTTTGCGCCGTGATTTCCAATTGACGTTTCTTCCAAGAGACTCGGCCCATTTGGGTTTTGTTTGAGTGACTTTCACCCCCCCACCGCCCCCCCCCCAAAAAAACAACAACACACACGGAAAAAGGAGAAAAATGCTCCCTTACTTTGCAGTGATGGATGCAGTGCCCCTCTTGGAGCGAGCGTCCCGGACCGTTTCCACAGATCAAAAACGGACCATCGAGCGAACAGGCGATGCATGGACCTTTGCCGAGAAACCCATGGAAGAGCAGTGGCTGAGAAGCAGTGGAGAAAAGCGGAGAAGAAGGTACATACACTCATGTAACTACTTTGTTGAAACAACTGTAGAACACTCATGTACATGAACACTCATTGAAACCACTTTGGAACACTCATGTACTTCATTGAAATCAGTGGAGGTGTTCCATCAGACGACCCTCTGACTCACTCACATGTTTGTAAAGGACCCATTGTTTGTAAAGGACTGGTGGTTTTCCTTTCGGGACCCTGCCATCCACGTAACCATGCCATCCGTGACTTCGCCACGTGACGTTGGTGGCCGGCTCAGCCGGAGCGAGTCGGAGTGGTGGGGAAGGTGTGCGAATGCTCTGGGCGAGACGTGATGTGTCTTGTTCGCCGTGAAGGCGCCACCGTGAACCGCGCGGCCACGAAGGGTGGTCCGGTCCGGTGAGGGACGAACGACACCAACGGAGCCAGATGCACAGACTCCGTCTGAGCGAGCCAGTCAAGTACCGAAGGAGCTTCTGTAGTTCCGAAGGTATGTAGGCGGTTCCTTGTGCCAACATGTGCCAACTTGTAGACATTTCTGCTTTGCTGAGCGATGCCCACTTGCACTGACTCAGGCGATCTGGGTATGAATGGACCAACTGGTTGTTCTCCAACTGTGGGTGGTGAACCAGACATGAGAAACCTCCGACCCCAGACCCAGTTTCACTGGCCAACGTTGTAAGACCAACAAACTGGCCCAAGTCTCCCATGATGTGCCCATGTTGCACAAGATCGATGTACCGGCCATACCCCTGGCCATGCTTAGTAACTGTTTAGTATATTCGGTTGGGGATTCGGTGGCATGAGTTGCATGACTGAGTCGTTGATCCCAGAGTCGGTTGAAGAGAACATCTATACAGGAAACCCACAGTTATACAGCGCGGCAGTCCCCGGTTTCTATTGGTTTCCTGTAGGTGTTCCCTTAGCCTTAAGCCGATCGATTTGAGGTACATTTTCTGCTTCTACTGGACCTTGGGAGTCATGAGGACCATGCCAGCAGAGGTCACGCCAGTCCCTTGGCAGAGGGTCACCGCTTTTCAAAAGGCTTTGACGGTGAAGGGGGCACGAAGCATTGGTCAGCACACGGAAAGAGTATGTACTTCCAATTCCAAGCTGGTCCACTTCCATGTTTGAGGGTGGTTCTGTGGCGCGCGTGGTTCCGTATCCTGAAATAACAGGGGTGATTGATTGCACGAACGGAGAGTCAAAGGTGGATTGCGTGACACGACCCTATGGAGCCTGTGCGGATTATTCTTGTGACCTTTTTTGGCACACTTCCTGATTTGAAAAATATTTTGACAACTATGAGACAAACTCATGACAGATCCGTATCCTGGCATACAATCTCATGACAGCTTATGACACGATCAGATCCGTATCCTGGCATTGCCATCGAACCAGCCATTCTCGGGAACCCGAATATAAAAGATACTCTTTTGTATATAATATTATAGGCCTCTCCCGGCCTCCCAGCTTTCCTTCTATGGTCGTTTTCTTTTATTGTCGGCCTAGCACCCCCAGGTCACTGGTCAAAGTTCATGCAGAAATTGTTCCTATATATATAACTTAATTTTTGTCCTTATTATCCATCAGACTCGGTTCGAATGGGTCCGGCTCCGAGGTGAATTTTCCCGAGCGGATCTTCGTGCTGCTGTTCATGTTCTTCGCACTCTCGGCCTTCGCCGTGTCGGTGGCCTCTTTGACCCAGGCGGGAGCGGGGGGAGGAGGGGGAGGAAGGGGAAGGGAATGGGTCTTGATAGGTCCAGCGGCGCGAAAGCCCATGAAAAACAGGGTTTTCACATACAAAAGCCATGTTTGCTTAAAAAAAGCCAGGTCTTTGATGGTTTGTGGGGACCCTGGGTGATTCTTGGGTTCCTCACTCCGCCCCAAAAACCGAAGCTCAATAGACACCCCCCAAAAAAAGACAAAACAAAAACGAGGGCATGCTGGGCTGAAAGGCGAGAACGATCCAACACCCACCCGTCCAAAGTATTCTTTTTTGCACAACTTCTGTGGAAAACAGGGCACTTCTGTGCGGCACATGGCTTGTCTTGTAGTTGGGGTTGTGGGTTGTGAAGTATGCTTTGGAACAACCATCGGAGATTCGTTTTTGCGGTGCTTGGCCTGTTGGACATCCTCCACTTGGCCGTCTCAACGACGGGACCTTCGAATCGCTTCCCACAGATCTCGACATCCCAGCTTTGGAGACTGAAAGAACATCAAATCACAGATGTTGAGGGTTCGTGCGGGCAACAAGCAACACGACTACTTTGCACAACGTGATATATAACATGCGTGACATGTGTTGAGGACGAAGTTGCTTGAGGACAATCCTGAGCACACAGGGTTCATGTATGTTCACGTCCTGATTTGGTGCTGCTGTTCGTATCCACAAGTGTCTATAATCATACGATCATACTGTACGGTATACGCGTTACAGCTTCTCTGAACAAGATATTTCACCAACAGAACAAGATGAACAAGGACGTCTCTCAGGAGCCACGGTTGACAAAAAAACAATGGAAAGACCAACAAATGTTTTTTTCAACTCCAAACGCAAGTCTTGAAGACGAAACGAGTCGGGGTCGCAAAGCTTCCTCGATGCTTAAGGCTTACTTCAAGATCTTTGAGCGGGGTCGCACCTTCAACGATGAATACTTTTATGTGCCCCAGCGGGTCCCAGCGGAAGTTTGGGCTGAGGGCCTGACGGCATATGGATTGGCTGTTATTGATTCATGCTTCAATTGTTAGAGGATAATGAAGGCCCAGGCAATGAGCTTTCGCTAGCTGTTGTGGAGGGTCCCCAAATCTCCCAGCAGGAGACTTGGGGACCCGCTGCCAATTGGACTTAACAGGCTTGAAAACGTTTTTTATCATTGGCCTAGCCGACTGCCAGTCATGGCTGTAGCAGTAATCACGGGATCGCTCGCGAGTCGCGCTATCATTGGCCTAGATTTCTACTGATTTCAGAGTAGATGGCACAAACCCAAAGATGTCCCTTATACTTATATTGGGATCCATACAAACCACCTTTAGGGGATTGTGCCATCTACTCTCAACCCCCAGATTCGATGTGAGACTCTGGCGATACGTGTGCATGGATCTACGTGTGGAGAGCCGCTGAGCCAGCTGTAAGATGCCTTTAAGTCATTGAAGTCGGCTTCGTGCCGCATGTCTCGCTTTGATCCGCGTCGAACTGCGGTTTCTTCGAACTGCGAGCCGAACGAAGAAAAAACATACGACGATGTCACATGCCGTCGCGACATCGTGTTTAAAACCATCAGTGCTATAGGTGTCAGTTTTTTCCGATAGATTCATTGGTTGCACCAGGGTATTCTGTGGATTTGACCCTTTCTACCGGCGGCTCGATGTAAGGTGCGCATGTACCTGAACCGCTTTGGAGCTCCTTGGCTCGCCGTATAAGTGGGCGCCTCTTGGGCTCGCGAGCGACCGGTGCGGACATGTCCTCCGGGCACGACGCGACGCCAAGGCGCAAAAGCCCTTGGAGGCGCGGGTGAAGCAGTTCTTGGGCCACCTGTTCGAGCGACGGCGGATCATGGCCAAGGACCGGCGAGGGAGGTTTCTGCTCGCTCGAGTCGCTCGAGTTCTGTCGTGCGTCGGCGCGGCGGCGTAAGCCACACAGAGTTCATTTGGGGCGGTGCATATGGCTGTGTCATATGATTTTAAAATCTTCGACCCTCATACTGGCATTGACTGTATGTTAAGATTGGTTGGCATTAACTGTATATGTTATACATGGCATTAACTTCCTCATAGGCTTTGACCCTCTACAATTTTCGACCCTCTATCTGGCGTCAGAGATGCAACTCAATCGTCACTAAGTGAGTACTTGGCAGAGCGAACCATCGACGGACAGGAGACCAACTTAATGGACAAGCTGCCGGAGGCACGTTTACTCGTTGTGTGTCATGGAAACACCACTGTCTTTGTGAGTCCATCATTACGAGTTCAGCAGGAAAAGAATGGAAAGGACACACATGATCAACCTGGGCACGGGAAAATGGAACACCGAGTCGGTCATTCTTACCGTTGCTATGAAGGTCCTTCTTACGGTCTCCTTTGAAACATTGGTTCGCCCCATCGGACGTCGGATCCAGAACAGAGGCTTCCGGTCGATCCTGCAGGTTCTTCATATGTTCTGAGACTCATGGTGAGATGTTTTTTTTTTTTTTTTTCCGGGTTGCTCCTTCGGTGTTGGGTACAGACATCTCAACTTAGAGTGACCCCAAAACAGATTGATGTAGTTGTTCCGAAGTTATTTGGCTTACGCACGGGGCATCGCCTTCCCCATCCGAATCCAGCCAACAATACCGTCCTGGCAGCCAACAATACCGTGGAACTCAAGGTGCTCAAAGAATGCACTGCCCTTTTTTACGGCGGTGTGGGTTGATTTTGTACGCCTTGCTTTTGTCAATCTGTATGCAATTTTGTGTGTGTCTATTTCCATGTTTCGGCTCATGAGATGGCAATGCACATCCCACAGAATCACAGAATCCACAGATGATTCGGAGCATTGACTGGAGTCCTTCATTGAATCCCAACCTTTTGCTAGTTGTGTTAGGTCCAATGCATTCTCGTTGCAGGTTTCCACTTGTCCAAAAGATGAGTTTATGGTTTGATATGGTTTGGATCCTTTCTTTTTCTTTGTGCCGGGGCATGCTGGGGCGAATCGGGGCGTTCGGGTGGCACACCGCGCCGCCATCCAGGTCTTGAAACACGATGTGCAGAACATGCTAGTGTGGCATCACCTCCAGAAGTTGCAGCTCGTGAGCGATCTCGGCAAGGGCGCCATACAGGAGATTTGAGCCTTGGCTGCCTTAAGGGCCTTGGTTTAGTTATTTAGAGGTTGGTTCTTCTGACAGGGAGGGATGAGTACCCCTTGAGCCGCCCGAGTGTCCCAGTCCACCGCTGTGATGAAGGGTCCAGTATGCTTCTGGTGTAGGCTGCCAATGGCTATTCCCTCAGGAACGCAGCTGGAGGCCTTCATCCAGCTTGTGATGTTTGAACCGTCCACATCCGGTCCTCTCTTCTCCTTATTATAACTGCAAGGGTGGGGCCCAGTGGATTCACAGGGCTTGGCACCAACTCCCCTCCCCCCCGGAACCTCTCAGCAGCGTCGCAGCTGCGTCGCCACGCCCTTCGCCCGGTCCTGGAGATCCCGGAAAGCCTTCGTTCACAAACATGGACCAAACGTTGGACTATGCTGATCGCGCCTGGGTGAGGCCTAGTATATCCAGACCTGCCAGAGTTGATTCCCTTACAAATTACAGCTGCTTCCAGAAGAGCATGGCTTTTTGACCAAACGGCACGGGGTTTCTAAACGACACTGTTTCAAGAAAAACGACTCTTCTTGACACGCAACAATCCGTGTCAAGAGGCCCGATCGGAAACCACCCCAAACGGCACCTAACTCTCACGAACTGGTGGACCCAGGTTCCCTTCAAGTTCCTGTTTGCTTCCTGCGTGGATTGCTCTCTGATTGACTATACCATTACCCCTACATGACCTGGTATGGTCAGAGGGTCACTCCTGGTAAGGGACTCTCATGCTAAGGTAAGGGACTTGTGGGATTACCGGACTACCATTACTTCACCGGGCCGGCGCAGGTGCCGCGTCCACGATTGCGGACCACATGCCGGGGGTGCTTCTGTGCACCAGAGGTGAAGCGGGGAGGCCCATGGAGCAAACATCGCCATGGAATGCTTCGGGGGGTCATGCCTTTGGATGCAGCCGCGGGCCACTTGAGGTGTATTTGGATGCATTTTTGGCACTATAATATAGTAAATATTAGTAAATGATGTTATAGTTATAATTACAGTAAGTTATAATATTTTATATGTAACTATCATTAATCATTTGTCGTGAATTCATACATTATCTATACCAGCACCTTCCAACAGGTCTCCTTTGGAGGCTTTTGTAGACTTCAAGGGCGCAGGTGGTGACCTGTTGGAAGGTCCTGGTATGTATATTGCTTGGTCTTTGTTGGGGTAGTAGGACTTTTTTGTAGCTTGATCCCTTCATGGATTTCATCCGACGACACCTTTGCGGACTAATGACTAATATACGAACAGGCCGGAACTAATTCCATGGATACAGCTGCAAGCTCTTCTTGTTGGAAGTCCTTTGCAATGGCAACGGTAGTAAAGCATGTAGTAAAGCATATACTAGCTGCTGATTTTCGACCTATTGGAATAGCTAGGCTTTGCTTTGGGCTTCTCTCTTTGTGAAAGGTGTTTCACATCATGTTGATGGATCATGTTTTTGGCAGCTGTTCAAATCCGGTCGCCCGAAGTAGATCTCAGAAACCCGGTCGCCCGGTGGCTTCAGACTGCTTGCAAAGCACTTTGGTTGACCAGATCTGCTTTCAAAGCATTTTGGTTGACCAGATCTGCTTTCAAAGCACTTTGGTTGACCACTGCAGTGGTTTTGACCACCGACCCAGGTCGCGGAGTCCACGTGGCTTCTGTGTTCCGGGCGGCTTCAAGTCTATGACGTCCCTGGGCGAAGACGACCTGCGGGCGGCGCGACACGCGACGCGCGACGGGCGACGCGCGACACGCGACGCCACAGCGACGCTGAAGAAGCTGAAGAAGCCGAGGGTTTTTTGATGGTTTTTCAGAGGCTTTGGAGCGGTTTGGGCGGTTTGCTCCGGTGATGGAGGTGAGACGTTGATGGTTTCCCGTGGAAACCTTCTCCTGAACCCGCGGTTGGGCGGTTGGATGGCATAGGATGGGACCCCATGATGGAGCCATTGTGATTTGAGACTTGCTTTGGGGCATGACTACGGCAGTCCGCCGGACCAGGCGTGGGGTGGACTGCAAACATATTTGAGGTGTGATCGGTCGAAGGGAGCGTCACTTCCGTCACCCCCTCCTGGATCATTCACCATGAGTGGCGGCAACAGAGGTGGGAGATTGGGGGTGACGTTACCATTGTGGCCAGTTTGTTGTTGAGTGTCACGGAGCCGGAAGGCTAGCTGCTTACCTTGGGGAAAGCTAGCTTATCCAGTCGGAGTTGGGCAACCTTTTCGGGGAGCGTGCGATGGGGAAAGCAAGGTGCATACATGCTCCAAATATGCTCCAAGCATGTGACACATGCTTTTTCCCTTCTGGGTTCGGGAAGCAGTTGGCAACATCATGCAACATCACAAGCTGGAATTTTGAGATTCTGTGCGCGGTAAGACGTGCCACGGTGTAAGAAGACTAGTTTGTCGAGGATGTTAGTTTTTTCACGTTTTTTTCTTTCATGGCAGTTTTCGGGAAGGTGATTTCGTTGGCAAACGCGAAGGCACTTCTCATCCAAAGTAAACCCTCGCACGTGGTCGCCGCTTCCTCCTCAGGAGGCAGAGGAAAGATGGACCAGCACGACAGGCCTGGATGAATAGCTGGAAGAATCGTGCCAGCTCAAGGAGCTATAAGGAGCTTAGTTTCAGGGATGAAAGCCATGTGCTTAAAAAGGCTCGCTCGGGTCATAGCAGGTCATAGCTGGTCCGGCGAGGAAAGAGGTTGACGTCCAATGCTGAGCACACAGCATCCAGAGTGGTGCCACTTGGAATCCCTCTCCCAGAATCGAATCTCCAGAAGATCCTTGGCCCTTAGGTTTGATCGATCAGTTTGGAAGAAATCTAGGCTGGCGGCTTAACCGCCCAACTCAGTCTTGTAATCCTAAATGTTGGCATTGCCTAGAACGTGTTGAGGAGCATAATTACACGTTTCCTCTCAACACCTTCTTTGAAGTTCCCAAGCTTTGCAATGTTTTGTCCAATTCATTTATTTTCCCTTTCTCATCCTTTCTCCCTGTCTCTCTCTTGCCCTCCGAATCTCACCCAGTCCTTTGACCCGAGCAAAGTCGTTGGCCTGACTAGGCAAGCACCGAGTGACCGTCATTGACTATGAGACCCTAGCCACACCGGAGCCTTACCACTCCACACTCACTGTGTCCACCGCGACGGTCTGCGAGCTGCTACAGATCAGTAAGGCACAAGACCCCGCGTTCCAACGCACGCGCCGATCGGTCAGGCACATGTAGTTTCTGTCACAATCTATTCACTATGACAATGACTATATAGAATTATACACATATACATACACATACATACACTATATACTATGGCATGTATATTATACGGCATTCTTTTGATCATGTTTCATTTTCGAGCCGCAGAGTATCGCAAACATGGTGTGAGCAGGAGAGGCATGGGGGTGCCGATCGTGATTCTGTCCAGGCCATTTTCTTGAAATTCGCTGGGCACAACCAGGCTGAAACTACAAGGCTTTGGCGGGGAAGGGTTTTGTGGCCCTGATTGGGCATTGGGGCACGCCACAGAATCACCAAATGTCACTATAGAGGGCTTTTTGGTGATCTACCAACTATCAATGTCAATCTACAAGATATACTGGATGTTGAATCAATTGTCAATGTCATTCACTCCTGCTGCCACCCTACACCACCCACCGATTTCAAGGAACTCTGATGACATGATGCGAAAAGAAATTGGTCCTCCAACCAACCTGTCAACTTACAAAGCTTGACGAACACCTGGAACTTTTGACCACATTTGCAGGGAAAACGCGGGTGCACATTGCACATCAACAACTGTAATACCATGTTCAGTGCCAACCTAAACGCAGGGGCCTCTCACCCGTTCAATCTTTCGCTCAACCGTTTGCTCCCTGCTGCAGCTTCACCCAAGCTAAGTGACGAGATGTTTTGTTCGCTCTCCCTTTCTTGGGTGTGGGAAGTGCTTGTGCAACAATGACTCCCAGGGTGAAGTGTGGAGGTCTCAAAAAAGATAGAGCCAGTTCCCCAAGACATATGAAATGGGCCATTTGAAATGGGGTGAGTTTTCCCCTAGTTGATTCTATGGGCCTGATATGGTCTTTGAGTCTTTGTAAGTTTTCGCAGGAGTGTAAAACTGTTATGAGCTTCAGGATGAAGTAAGTGCACCGCGGGTATTGCTGGCAATCTCCCAGAACCCTTTGAGAAAGCGGCCGCATAAGCCTTGTGCACCGTACTGTGCACCTTGTTCAGTGGAACACAACATGTTCGCAGTCTCAAAACCATGTTTCTTGACTTTCAAGCTATCCGGGGTTTGTGACCGCTAGCTCAATTCTCAAAACCAATGCGAAAGAACATCTCTTGATACGCGAGAAGACTACGACGGGTCCCGCCCGGATTTCTCCGCTCACATGTTCACCGACGTCGCCCGGAAAAATCGATGGTGGCCACCAGGCAATGGCGGAAGAAGCAGGAGCAGTCCAACAAGGGTGTCATCAAGGCGCCATGGGGTGAAGGGCGCCAGGTCTAAATGTAGACTCTTGATTAATACCCCCCCCGTTCAGCATTTGGATTGAAACAACCTCGTTATCTGCAGGGGTAGGATGGACGGGTGTATTAATCAAGAGTTGACATTCAGTCATGGTGAACCTTGTGGCACCACTTGGACCTCATGGTGAATAGGATGATTCTCTCCGCATGTCCGGAGCGAAAGCACGCATTCTCCTCTCCAGAATCACACCAGATTGCCTGGGAAGCGAAGGATGGGTATATTGCGGGTTGGATCTTGATGCGGCCTCCCCGTGGTCTGCGCTTTGGAAGGCTGATGCTCCAGGATCCTGGGCACCAGCACTTGAAGAATGTACATGATAAATGCAACTACCAGCAGTTTTCCAGATTCCAAAGGTGTTGCTTTTAGTCCCTGAATAGGGGATTATGGGCACCCTAGCCTCCAACCTGGTGTTTGGACTCTTCTTGCAGATGCTGAGGGAGCGACTGTACAATCCAAGGGGCCCAGAGCAGGACTTAGGGTTTAACCACGGATGATGCGCTTGCTAGTTTCCCATGACCAAATCCAGTTTGTAAACCACCTAGGGCTTCTATGCTTTCCTGTTTTGGCCAACTGAACCACCTCAGCGGAGAGAACTAATTGCATGAACTGTGAACCTCGCATGAACCACCCTTCCAGGGTCTCAAGAGGCCAAGGTTTGGGATCAAGGTTGGAACATGCAATATAGCAATATGCACCTGTCTGAGTCTGAGGGACATGTTTTTAGTGTTTTTTCTCAGTATATATATATATTATATATTTGCATAACTACCGAGAATGATGAGAATGCAAGAGATTGATGGTTCAGATTCAACACTCAAACAGCCCCAAACTCTCTTCAAGTGCCTCGAAGCTCGGGACGGTGTCTCACGCCGATGCAGGTGCAATTCTCGGGCCTGGAGAACACGGAGGAGCAAAACACCATTTGCGCCTCCGCGACGACGGCGGTGCTGATGTCCGGGCACTGATCAGGCGCGGTTCACGCGGGCGCTGCGTCGGTGGCGGTGTCCACCGGGCATCCTTGGTGGGGCTAAGGTTGGGGGGCAAGTCATTTGGTCACGCTCTGGGTCAGATAGACTAAACGTGTGTGATGACCTGGCTGGGCTGGGGTTTTTGGGCGAGCCAATCACGCTAAAAGGTGTCATTCGTGCAGATGCCTCGCACACCGGACATGAATGGTGGATGGAGGTGAAGAGGGGAATGAACATGGAATGGTGGCATTAGACCTTCTGGAATGTGTGCTCCCCATATCTCCACCTAGGTGCCGAAACAATCCTAGCTCCCCCCTAAGCTCCATAGCAACAATAGCCACAACAATTATTTAGTGTTGTTCCCTGATCTTGCCTAATTGTCGGCGTTGATTCTGCGAAGTGACCATGCTGATGGTACGAGAGGGCAGGGGTCCCATCCAGTTTCTGGTCTACGTTCTGGGCACCCAGTTCTGGCACCCAGTTCCTGCGCGGAACTGCATCGTTTGGTCCAATCGCTCCAAGCATCGGATTCGGCGCCTCGAATCCACCCCATCTCCACCAGGGCGCCGCGCTGCAGGGGCACTTCGGGCGGGGGGCGCCCGAGCATGAAGAAAGGCCCTGGAATGGATATCGATCGGCTCATGGTCAGCATGGTGGTCGTCTTTTTGAGATTGATTGTGATCATAAGCTTTTATTTGTCAACTGTTCCAGATTAGCAGGCTTGCCGTTCTGGTTGGCAGTTTGCTTTGGCTTTGACTAAGTTGTGGATTGGGTGGCTTGAAGTAGCCGGTTCAGCCGCAGATCTCAAGCGAGGGAGCGGCTTGTGGTATCACTTTCCGTGGGCAAGTCTCAACAGTGATGCAAGACAACCGCGGAATAAAAGTTGAGGGAATGACCCATGCCACTGTGCTCCCATTTTGATCCAACGGTGCCGGACCACATCAAATGAGAAGCCGCTATTAAAGGAGGATCGCACATCTTGTGGAGCACATGGGGGCGTTTCCTGCTGAAGCAGTAGTACTTTGGACATGCATGAGAAGCTGTAGCTGCCGGGTCTGGGCACGTCAGTGTCTCACCGATCGGCGCGTTCCGCTCGCTTCTTTCGTCGTGGTGGTGAAGAGCGGGATCCAGGTTCAGAGGGCATGGGGAGATAGGATTGTGGTTTGTTTCGGGCGACGGTTGGACCTGAGGAAGAAACATGAAGAAACACGATATGATGCGATATGGGCCACAAGAGAGAATGAATTGAGACTATAATTGTCATACAAATGAAGCATTTCTTTGGACCAGTGGGGCAGACTGGACTTGGGGGAATTCTTGAAGGTGTGGCCGTTAGCTCTTGATATTTGTCGCCATGCTACCCAATTCCCTTTGCCTGGCGGATTCTCGAAAGAACATTCTTCAGGAGAAACCTTTGCCGCGCAGCGAAGCAAAGCTTCCAAACCTCTATGCGCGTTTCTGGTCATCTCACAGCCAAAGTCGAGTTCTGGAGGCAGCTAAGCTGGCCGCCTGACTCGATGACTCAATGGCTCATTTGTTGAAGGTGGCCACTTGTTTGGCTCCAAGTCCGCAGTGCAGAATGGTGGCAGAAAGTCTTTCGACTCTTTCTTGGCCCACTTGTTGTCAAAGGATACACCCAGTCACCTCAACATCGACATTTCAGCCCCAGCTTGCACAACAAAAGCCTGAGCAGAATTGAAACAGGGAGGCTCCCAAAACGGTCATCCAAGTAAAGACGGAGGCATCGGCGGCAAGATTTGATGTCCATCAGGTGCCATTGACAGAGCTTTCACGCAATACTGTAAAACAAAGAAAACGCTGCCATGGAGCTTCCCTGAAACCTGTCTAGCATCAACTCCGGCCAGTTTCACGCCAGTTGCCTCAACCTGACCTTAGCAACTGTGCCAATACGACTGTCGGACAGCGACGTGGAAAGTCCTGATTCGCCTCGGCGAGGATGGGATGGTTTTTGATGTTTCGCCCCTGACGGTTTTCACCAGGTTTTCACTGGTGTCACAGGTCCGGTGCAAACCTGGTGTCGCAGCTTTTCTATGCTTGCCGTCACGTATGTCGGACGGCCATTCCAGCACCATCCAGTTGGGTAAAGGGAGTCTCCAAAAGGTTCAGGTCAAAATGCCGGTCCAATCGACATTGACTCGACCTTTTGGTGGCTGAGGGTGATGTCGTGGGCCTTTTTCGTGAGGATAGGATCCCAAGGAGTAGATGGTCGATGTTGGGCCTGCTTGGCTAGCTTGGCTTAGAAGCTTTTACCTAGATACTTTCTTGAGAAGCAATGCTGATGCCATGCCACAAGTCACGCCCCCGAGCACATCCCTAAGCTTGTTGGCTGTAATGCAGCAATCAGTACAAAGTGCATGGAGCATAAGCATGTTCTTTCAGGCCATGGTTTCAATGGGGTTGCACAAAACCATTCTAGTTTTCCACCTTGCTATAGACATATTGAGACCATGGCCTTTGAACATGTTCCAATGAAGAAAGAAAGGATGACATGTAGGAAATCACAAATTGGAGATCCCAGCAGGTTTCACAAGCTGGTATGACCCTGCCAGGAGTTATACAATACGGTTGTCATTCCTAATACCCCCAGGCCAAGAATCTCAAGCTCTTCCTTTCCGAACCAGTTCGAAGGAACCCTCACCGTCAGTGCCGCCGCAATGGGTCACACAACCCATTGCAGATGGGGGGAAGCTTATGGGCCTCAAGATCCAACTTGGCAAACTCATTGGATATTCATCCCTGATACTAGACAGGTCAGCCAGTCGCAACCTGAAAACTGCACATCCTGCACATTGAGTCCTCATTTTCTTGGAGGGATTGGCCCCCCCGGTGCCAGCTTGTGCTGCTGGCAGCGCCAGGAACGCCCCAGGCTCTTGTTTGCGTGCGCGAATGCGGTTGGGGACAGGCGACCAGCGGTATAATGGGCTTCAGGCACCCAGCGGTTTGTGTCACGCGATCAGAGGATAGTCGTAGCCAGGGAAACTCGAAAAGAACATTCAGGTGCTGGCTATGGGGAGGGCTTGAATGTTTGAGGTGCTTTGGTTTGTTTCCTGTGTCACATGTCACATGCTTCACGTTTTCAAGTAACTTCATATCCATTGCGATGGATGAAGGAGCACCAAAGGAAACAGATGCACATCGAACATCGCTCCGACCTAATCATCACATCCCTTGGAAGAGGCTAAACTTGCTGCGCACTTCATGTACATGTTCGGTTTGAGCCGAAATTCGGCCGTTTGGATGTCAAAGCGCCCATGTTCACGCTTGAGACCGGCATGGAAAATTAAAAAAACGGCTAAGAAGCACCATCCAGCACCTTCCAACAGGTCTCCTCTGGAGGCTTTTGTAGACTTCGGCCGGCGCAGGCCGGTGACATCAGCAGGTTAAGTCTGGGCACCACGTGGGATGGGCTGGTCCACGTGGATCCAGGTGGTCCAAGCACTCCGCCACCGAAGACACGGAAGAAGACCGATGCTGGGGACCGAAATGGGGACATCAGGGAGTGACGGAGTGAGGTGGATTCATGTATTATGTGGGATGAGCATTGTATGAGCGGTACATATATCATATATTACATATATATATATATATATAATATCATGTATATATATATATATGCATATTTTTAAGTAGTCTATACATAACATGTGCCTATATAATCCTATAATATCCTATATATATATATATTATACTGTATTAATATATACTGTATATATACTTTGCAACTCTGCAGACTGCCCATGAGGTGTTTGCATTAGGGTCACGCATGGGACAGGAAGAGGTACCAGGTCTGCGTTGTGCACGCGGATGCCAAATCCAGACCGGGCCTCCCTGGATCAATCCCAAAGAACTGGTGGGGACCGCTGGGTCACCCCCTGATCCGCATCGATCGCGGTCAACTTCCACCTGCCATTCCCACTGCTGCCGTTCAGATTTAGAGGAGTGGTTCCTTCAAGTGGGGGGTGACCATTGCCCCATTGCGTCCCACTGCCATCCACTACCCACCCCAGTGATGTTGTTTAACGCGCATGAAACAGCCCACGTAAGTTTGAGTTTTGTGCGGGCATCATTCATGAAAAACCAAGCGGGCACGAAGAAGTGCCGAGACCAAAATCACTCCAATGCTGGAGACTCCGTGTAGCTAAGGTCAAAACAACACCTGCGAAGCGGCGGCGCATGACCCAAGCTTCAAGGGAGGCACGGTCGGGGCCGACGCTGAGGAAGCGTGGTGGTGCACCTTGGTGGCCCTTGAGGCGGAGAACCTCAGAATGTCAATGTCCAAGACATTCCCTTTTCAGTTTCGTGCTACCAACTTGCGAGTCACCCAACCTGCCAGCGGAAAACCCATTGAATTTGTAGCGGAGAATGGTCCTCCGAACTCAGGGCCGGCCATGCCATCCACTTGATTCTTTGACGAGGGTAGGGTAGACTCTCTAGTCGCTGCCAAAAACCAGACACTCCATGCATGGTATATAATATATGAATTATATATGCCTACATTGACCCCGTATGGTGCCTCCTTTTCAAACACCCCGTATGTTTCCATGGAGCCCGTCCCATGGAGCCGTGTCGTGACATTGGGCGTTCGTCTCGTGACAGCTGGGCGTTCGTCTCGTGAAGCCCATGGTGGGTCGGGTCAATGGTGGGGATTGAGGGCGTGGCTCCAAGACCACGTTCGGCCCTAAGGATTCCAAGGCGCCGTCGGCGCGTCTCTAATTCGTCTGTTTTCGTAGTGCATGGGTTCTAAGTAGTTAAGGCTTACCGCAGACCTATATAGCTGTGGGTCCGTGGGTCAAAACTAGGAAACCATGGAATACCTTGGTTGAGCTACCAACGAAACTTGCGGACTCTGTCTGAGGCGCTTCCCACGACCCTTCGGTTTCACCGGGTATCTGGGAGTGTTGTATGTAAGCTAAGCAGGGCTGTACACCATGGAATCAGAAACACAAAAAGATTCACCTGAATTAAAATGAACTTGAGAGCAATCTAACTAGCGTGACACCGAACATCCGCGCGAAACGAGGGTTGCTCGACATGTGGTTCCACGTTCAAAACATCAAATCGTAAGAGCCAATCACGATCGAGATGAATTTAAGAGATTCCTGGGACTCCACTTTCAAGCATCTAATTAGGGGCAGGTGGTGGATGCTCAGTGCATCCAAAGACTTTCCTTTATTCCATGCCTCTCTGAGTTTCTTTTTTTTTTCCTCGAAAGTGGTAGCACTGTGAATAGTCCAGATTAACAACCGGTTCAGCATGGATGCAGACTTTACTGTATGTCATGGGCACCTACCTGGAAGGTCAAACTACATGGTGTTGTGGCTCCAGGTCTTGACCCATCCCATATGTGGCCTCGCAGCAGAATCTTAGAGCAGCTAGGGCAACATATGGCAACTAACATGCTGTTCAATCTGGTTTGGATTTTATTATGTATTCTTCAATGCTAAAAAATGGTGGTTCCGTTCGGACAAGAAAGCCCGGCAAGGCTCACAGTAGAACGCTGTTTGCTGTTTGGGTACGAAAGCGCCCTGGTCTTGACAATGTTACAGTGCACGAGTTCATGACATACACGGGTGCAGTGGAAGCTCAAATTCCGAACAGCCCTTTCTAGACACATCTTCACTGAAAGCACAGCCGGATGAGTGAACTGAAAGTTGCCTGCAAAGGACTTTTCCTTCGCTAAACCAACTCGCGATCGATCCATAGCCCTTCCACATTGTGGGGTGCTAGAGGGTTGTTACGCACGACCAGAAATAATATCCACAAAACGTGCAACCACCTGAGAAAGCATCACTGGTTTATGACTTTTCCTTCGCAAAGCTCTCACGACGTCGACAGTTGCGTATCCGAGCCGACCAGTTCGCACACGCGAGCTATTTGGTTGTTTTCCGAGTGCGTCGTCTGACCATGTCACGAAATCGTCAACCCAACATGTTGCAGAAGTTGTTAATTACCAAATTGCAGGTGTTTTTTTCCTCTCAGGGAGATCTAACAGGATCTACTGGTTCGATCTTCGGATGGGCACAGAGACTCACTCGTTGCGATGATGTTTTCAGGGTCCCACGAGGCCAAGGGCCACCGTGCACGATGCCACCGGCAGGGACGTTTGGAGCGCTTCGTGGCCACACCGTCGGGAACCCCGCCAGATGAGCGACTGGTCAGGGCGACGGGGGCGGGGCAGATCATGGCAACAAGAATCGGTGAATCAAAGGTTTTGTCCATCCGCATCCGGTCGTCACCACGATGGCCATTGATGGTGAGAAAGTATGAGAAAATACAAGCTTGCATTTTTGTTAACTAATTATGTGTTTGAGTGCTTCATGTTGTTTTTATCCTTCTTCAGGCTTGCTTGGAACAAATTAGACACTGGTTTTGTGTGCGGATGTGATTTCCAGATTCTTTGGGGAGATAGCGACCACAAACCCACGACCAACTGTCGATGTGTGCTTTTGCCTATTGCAATGGGTTGGGCCCGGCCGTGGGTGGACTCAACGTGGCAGGTGCCTCGTGCCTGGGTTTCGGTGTTTGCAGCGATGTGAAGTTCAGGGTGATGTGCTGCAGCGTCTCCATTCGATCAACTCCAATCGAATTTAGATCTAGGCCCGCCTCCTTGAAGCCATGAAAGCCAGAGGCTGGGCGCACCGTAGCGAACATGTTGCTTCTGGTTCGTTCGGCAGTACGTTGGGAGTTCCGGTCCAATGGTCCAATATCCTGGTGCAACCTTTTGGAAGGTGGCTGAGGAAAAAACCGTTCAAAGGATGTCTGGCTCCAACGTTGGATCCAAGGCTGCAACGTTGGTGTTTAACGTTTGGGGCTGTGCTGTTTAGAGTCTAGCCATCATAAGACTATCCACACCAGGGCTGGTCGCTCCCTCACGTTAACCCATGGTGCCAGCCTCCACATGCATGCACAGTCGTTCCTTGCTCACACGCCAATTGTCCTAGATTCCACGATTCTGTAAATTTGCAGGTGAGTTCCGGTCTTCCAAAAATGCATGCCATGGGTGACCTAATTTTGGGCGCTGCGAGTCCTTGTAGTTTGTGCCGTGTCCGAACTTGGTGACAGGAGTAGAGAATGAGACAGTGCCTTGGTTGCAGAAGGCTGCCTGTGTGTTGCGTGCGGAATGCGTCGGAAAGCATCATTTCCAGAACGCATTCTGTAATTACAGTTACTGTAAGATGTTGTTTTGCTATATTGTTATATTGTTATATATATATATGTATACCCAATTGAAAGAACATAAAGCCATATGTATACAAGCCAACTGGTTGTCTCACAGAAGCCTCAGCCTTTGTGCATGACCCAATGGCGGAGGGGCGCTGTTGAGACTGCTCCACGTCCCACATTGGAGAAGGGGCTGCCAGTCGGTTGAGCATTGCCAACTGGAAAGTGCTGAATTCTCCGGTCGGACAGACAAAATTGCACATTAACCGCCTAGATGGGAAGAAAAGGGCATTTCCCAGACCAATGATCAGGGTTCCATGTTAGTTTGCGAAATGGAATGTTCCGCGACTTGTTGGTGCCAAAAACAGGTCCACACACGAAATCACCTGGGGGCCACGGCTTCCAGACACATCCATGTGAGTGATGCCGACATGGGGAGAACCGTTTGGTTCTGCTGTCACCTCAAGCCACGACCTGAACGCACGGGGATGGAAGGAGTTGCATGGGGGCGCTCGCTGTGAGCATGGTGAGGTGATGGGCGTGGGCTCTTGGATGATCTCTTCCGTGAGCATGATGATTCTCAACAAGCGTGCCATTGACGCCTTTCCCCACGAGATCCCCGGCTGGCAACTGTTTGGGGTGGCACTTCTGGAACCTCGAGGCTCCAGAAAATTCGGACGAGAGCGCTCCCCAAATCATACACCCCCTGAAATAATCATGGAAGTGGATGGCATCGCCTCTTTTGATGACCAATGTCCTCTACAAACAGAAGTGGAGCTCCACTTCCATGATTATTCCAGGGAGTGTAGTACTTTTGGGGTCTCTCCTTGAGAGGACTTTTGTGCCCATTGAGTATGCCTGAGTATGCATTGGCATTGGACAATGTTGGGCACTTGTTCTATTCATCTCATGGGTGGTTGTTTCAGATACTTTAAAATTCAAACCTCTACTCGGTATGATTGATCCCAAGCACTATTTATTCAACTGAGTTGAAACCACCTACGACCACGTGGGGCCCTGTAGACTCTGGATAGTTGCATTTTTTTACTGGGCTGGCTGACGGCACTTCCTCAGATATCCTCAGCTTTGATCAATGATGATAAACACATAAACACAACGCATATATATAATTACCGAAGATATCAACACATATATCCTCGGCTTTAATATCATACCGTTGATCAATGATATCCACAACACATAAACACAACGCATACCAACGGTTGTGGCTGCTTTTTGGCGAATCTGTCAACGCTTCAATCCCGAGAAGAGACAGAGCGTGTCCATCCTGGTTCCAGGTTCCAGTGATCGAATGGGACAAAAATTGCTATCAGTTATCGAAGAATCCCTTTTCCCTACAAGTCAAGGACCTCACTTTCTACTGGACATGGTCATACAAAACCAATACATAAGGAGGTAAAAGACCGGGGGTTACTAGGTCTTTGGACTTGTAAGGTTCCTGTAGCTGGAGCAATGGCTTTTTCCCTTCTATCCGGACGTGTCCAGCACGTCGAAGTTCCGTGATGTGTTGGAGATGTGGCACGGGTGGTGGGATGGTTTGGAACACCGGTTTGGTGAAGAATCGAGCCAACATCCCCGTTTCCAGTCTCTCACCATCAGGTGCACCTTGACAGCCATGCAGATGCTCTTCTCAGCGCTTCGGCGAACATGAAACCGAGAAAACCTCTGTTTTCAGTTTTGGGATGCGATCCCAGAGCTTGGATCCTGGAAGCACATTCTTACATAATATTATGTTTTTTTCATGCTAGATGTTCATGAGTTTTGTTTCCACTTGATTTGGAGACACGGGTCGGGCTGGGTAGATACTGCATGTGCTGCCGTTTTTCTTTTGCTGGTCGGGTCGCGCCAGACATGAACAATACCTCATACGATGTCACACAACCAGTTCAGGTGGTATTTTCCGGGCGCGGTGAATTTGTTTGGATAGCGCAATGGGCTCCAAGGGTGACAAATTACTCTTGGCACGGAAGGCAAAGCACGACAATCGTATGTCATTGCTATGCATGTCAGTTCTTTCATCAGACAATTGAAGTGCTGCATCAATGACTCCAAACTTTCCCAAAGGCAAAAGAACTGGCATGCCCCGACATGGAGATCAGATAAGATTAGGTCTTTATATTTATTACTTGTTTGTGACATTTTATGACAATCAAGTTCTGTGCGCTTTGGCCCTACCGGCCAGTGGAGCCAAGAGAAGAGCTATCCGCTGCTAAACTTTGCATAGAGATGTAGGACATTTGGAGGGATTGGTGATTGGTGTATTTTTTAGGTAAAGCCGGTAAAGCCAAAGCTATCTCAGAATTTGCCAGTACATTCTGGATGTTGAACTCGTTTTATTAGCCAATAAGAAGTGATTCAGGTGTGCCAGGAGACTTTTGCACACAATCCTTGAACATTTGGAGTCTTGATTCCACGCATGTTGGGTCCTGAGAACATGAACCTACACAAACAATGTTGATCCATATGGTAAAGACAGCAAGCAAACCGGTGCCCCAGGTCACCCAAAACAGATCATGGAATGTAATGGAATTGTTGATTCTCGATTTTTGATTCTTGTGTCCAAATTGCAGTTCTCTTGAAGATGAGAGAGGAGGATGCACATGTTCTGGCTACGTCCCTAGTAATCGAAAGGATCGTTTTGGATACGAAAGCCAGGCCGACAGGTTGCGGTGCTGTAGGCGAAAAGAAGTAGTAGTGCCCAAAGGGATAGAAACATGATCAAATCAAGACAGTTTAGTTTAGTTTAAAATTTAGTGTCATCTCTGGTCCAGGTTTGCGTGCTCCTTTGCGGTTTCCGCTACATTCGCATTGGCTCACTCAAGGATGTCCTTCGCTGCTGGGCATGGTGGAAGGGCGGTCAAGCTGGAACTGCCTTGGCGTTACCTCCTATAGTGACCCCCTGAACAGATTCACATGGTTTCCGATAGCAGGGTGTTGACCAGTTGACCTTTGATTGATCAACTGCCCCCCTGCCATGGTGGCACCTAAACAGACCTTGGGCACACCAGAGTCACGGCCGAGTATTGGCAAGAATTTGGAATAACTTTTCAAGTACGGGAACAAGGGCTAGGGAATTGACAAAGGGAATCAGAATAATAGTTTTTGCTCTTTGGGATTGTCGGAATGGCGAGTTGAGAGTTGACAGCAGAATGCAGCTGAGTTTCAATCTCTGGGGCTGGGAGTGGTGCGCTGTTGGCCCGTGGAACCCTAGGTGCCTTGGGTGCTGTTTGGGGTTGTTTGGGCTTGGAGTGGTGGGCAGTTTGTCCACGGCGCTCCAAAACCGGAATTCCATCCTGCTGGAAACCTGGGCGCTGTTTGGAGCCTTGTGTGCTGCGTTCGCGGAGGGCAGTTATTGGAGATACTGTGAGGCCTTGATTTTCGTGGCAGCCACCTTAAACCTGGCTGGTGTGGATCTGATTGCACTTTAAGATTTGAGGCTGACTCGGATTGGGCACAGTTGGGCTTCAATCTCGGCTGCCGGCGTCCGAAGTCCGGAATTCTTCCCTTAACCCGGGCGCATGCCGCAAGCGCCTGGAACCCTGGAACGTTGGAACCGGCGCTGTCACCTTGGTGCCTTCAATCGTCGTCGGGCGCACGTTGCTCGCACAGGAAGCCCAGAGGCTGTTGCGCGTACAGCGTTTGTTCGCACTTAACGTTCTATGGGCATCTTTGCTCTGTGGTACTCAGCAGGGCGCCTCGTTTATGCAACAGGTTCTCTCGTCGCAGCGCCAACATGTTGTATGCGCAGCAAGGCCGCAGGTAGTTGCGCGTACCTTGCATGAAGATTCTGCCACAGTTTTTTGCACTTGCGGCGTGCCCTTTTGCCTGCCACAGTTAGATGCGCCCCAAAGCCAACCACAACAGTTTGTTCGCTCGTAGTGTGCCATGTGTCGCCGTTACTAAGCAGTCTTTCTTTCGATTGCAGAGCATTTATTCTACACACCACAGTTCTTCGCGCAACAATGCAGCATGTACCTAGCAGGACGTTGTTGCCATGGCAACAGCTTTTGCACCTGTGGAGAGCCTCCTCCCTGGTTGCGAACATTACCCTAAATGCATGCAAACAATTGCCACAGGCATGCGCATGTGCTTAGCAGGGTGTTTGTGCAAAGGACTTATTCACTTGTGGTGTGCCTTGTGGCCCCATTGCAAGGCATTCAGTTTGCGCAGGGCCTAGCAGCCATTCAATTTGGAATTGCTGCTCTTCTTCTTTCCAGTTTTTGGGGGATGGGTGGACGTTTCTTGTGCTTTAGATGCATCGTTTGAATGAGTTGGAATGTTCATCGGCTTAAACTTAGTAGAGCACTTAGTAGTTGGAAGGGGTGGACACGGCATTCGATGAGTTCTTGGCTGTTTTGAGCTTCGTCCATCCAACCAATTTTCAGGAAAAAGAGGCGGTGCGCGGTTTTAGTTGAAAAAGACCGCATGAACTCAAATCTGCCCAAGCGTCGCTTCTTAGCTTTTGTGCAAACTCCAACTCGTCGTGTTCCCATACATCAAAGAGCTATATACTTGCCAGATCAAGTATGATCTTGCAACGATGCCCGATTTTCACACGTTGGAGCCCTTATATTTCTAGGTGGGCTTTAGAAGCAGACGCCTGCGCCGATCGTCGGTTCTCGGGACATCTCGGGACTGAAGGCGTTCTCCAGCAGTTCTGCCGGGGCTGGGAACATTCACAGCCCTGAGCCTGCAACATTTGCATATCAATTTACTAAGCGAAGAATTGACGTATTGCATTGTAATTGACAATTTGCGAATAAAATTTGGTGTATTGGCCTAAATTGATTAAGGTTGCAACCTAAACCGAAGATAGTTTAGGTTGCAACCCAAATTTTGAAGAATTGTGCAATGATTGAAACTTTGACCATTTACTTGAGGATTTCTTGATAGGGCCAGAAGGAGCATGTGCTTGAAGGTTTGTTGAATGTGAAGCATGTTGCTATTCGCCATTGTGGAGCGATTACCGGAAGATTTGGGGATGCCAGGTTTTACCGAGCTCAGTGCGTTTCACCGGTATTTTGACCTGTTTGATGTGGATGATGCTCATACTATATCTAGCCGAATCGGGTCGGGTGGTCGTATTATTGATGAAACATACGAGCTAGCAGCTAGCTGCTGGCAACATGCCCGGCAATGTCGGTGTCCAGGCTTCCCTTGGAACAGGCACAGTTGGTAGAGGATGTCATGCTCAAACCCCATTTTCTTCCAGACTGTTTGGCATGGTGCCAGTCGGGGGCTTTACAAGACCAGTCTGGTGGGCCACAAGCTGAGACTCCCACTTTAGAAGTTGAACACTTCCTAAGGCTGGTGTTTGGTCACGCCCTTCTTCTCGGGGATGTTGCTCACCTCCATGCTAGCGCTGAAGTGGCCAGGTTGCAATTACGCGAAGGTTTTGTCAGAAAACACTTGTGGCCGCCACTGTTCCGGGGGCGTATGCACGGTAATTATCGTAATTATAGCTTTAGAGAACTCACTTCAAAAGCATCAAAACGTGGTAGCAGATCCATTGTGCAGCCTTCTTGAACAGCTTGACACCGAGTCGCTCACTTCCAGCGAGGTTCCAACCCTGCTGACTGTGGTAGTGTTTGTCCTGGTAGTGGGAGGTCCCCTGCTTGGAAAGATGTTGAGCCGACACTTCGGGAATTGCGGCTCTGGACCAGAGCGGTTCAATGCACGTTTTCCTCCATTCGGTGCATCATGGAACGACGATGATGTGTCCTCAACACGCAAAGGGTCGCACATTTCGCGTCGACCGTGGGTCTGCACACTGGGCCTTTGTCCGTCGCTGTCATGCTAGGCCGCTAGGCCAACTCGGGATTTAAGGTTGATTCATTTTTAGCTTTGGAATCCTGGATCATGCTGGAAGAACTCTTCCACGCAGTGCAACCAGCCAGTGGCCCAGCAACCCTGATTTCAACTACTGCGCAGCATACACATCACAGACCTTTGGAAGGTCTTTTTGCGGACTAAACTTCATGTCCAGTCCCGGAAACCAGAACAACTTTAACAGTCTTTAACAGTCTTTAACATATTTCTAGAACACCTTCGCACCCACCACCTATACCCAGTCCCGCCTCGAACGGGCAACGCCTCAGGAATGCTTCCATGACGTTGGTGATCGTGTTTCGCTGTCTGTCGCCCTTGCTCTCCCTTCCCATTGAAGTCTTGCGCCCCGGCCACTCTGCGGGCAGGGTGGCAGGGTGGGTGAATGCTTGATATAAAGAGGTCAGTAGAGAACTCCCTTGGCCATCAGAACACGTCCATTGAGGTGAGGTGCAATGAGGTGCACCTGGATTTGCCACCGGGTCTGAAGCCACCCCGATTGATGCCACCGGGTCTGATGACCCGAGTCGCACGGCCTCGACTATCAGCCCAGGTGCTATCCACGGCCCTTGCGATTGTCAGCGACCAGCTTTGCTGCCCTGCTGGGGATGGTACTGGGCACCTGTCTCTATGCGTCCCAACTGACCAAAGAGCCTAGGCGGTCAATGTGGGTGCTTCGAAACATGGGATGCTTAGCAATCGAAAAATGGGCAGTTGGTCTTCCTTGTGTGTGGGCCAGTGCTCCTTCAAGACATGAACCCTTTTCGGCGATGTGGTGAGCATGATGAATCGAAGAGCCTTGCTTTCAGTGGTGTTGCGTTTCAGATGTGTTGGGCCCCAGGGGACCCAATGTGTTCATCTGCTTGAGCCACCCTTGGTTGAGGACAGGCTTCGAGGACTTCAGCCACTTGGCGTTTCGACCGACGGACCGAGGACCGCCGATCGCCTGGTTCGGTTCGGTTGGGAGCGGTTGGAGCGAAAGTACGCAGCACCTGAAGTGGACGATAGGCCCTGGCGAAAGACCAGGTTCATCCATGTTCCAGCATTTTCGGCTAAAAATGGGAGGGGGTTCCACTTCCATGCTGGAAAGGGGGGAAGGATATATGATGAAAGTTCGGGAGGTTCCATGAGATTCCCATTCATGTATGAGTTGTGTGGCCGTATTCGGCCGTGATTCTGGCCGCAACAGTGCCACGGCCCAGGTGGGTTCTGTTGAACATGGTTCTGGTGCCAGCCTTAGGCACAGCTCCAATGCCTGCATCGCCCTCATGGAACGGTTCCAGGATTTGGCTTCCGGGTTTGTAGCCTGGTCTTGGCAAACAAAGCTTAGTCTAAGTCCTGGTCATACTACTATCTATCAATCTATCTATCTGTTTGTCTGTCTGTCTGTCTATCTATCTATCTGTTTGTCTGTCTGTCTGTCTATCTGTCTGTCTATCTGTGTATGCAAGGCATGCCCGCCTCGCCTGATATCTAAATTTGACAACTGTAAATGCGACATTCACATAGTTCAACGATGGCGGGTAGCTGTGGAGCGTGTCATGATGCAGCCACCAGCGCATCTTGTCTGACGTGGCATGGGCTTTGGGCCGGTGGGATCACCAAACAAATACGACCCACAGCTATGCAGATTTGACGGCTCAAGTGGCACGATCCATTTTGCTGCGGCATGCAGAGGCGGATCCAATGCGCATGTCTAGTACAAGCCACCATGCAACACTGCATTGTTACCCTCAACCTTAGGAAATTAATTTAAGAGTAGGGTTACATACCTGAAATATTTTTCCAAATGATTTCAGGTTAATTGTTCCGTTTTTTGGGTAGGTACCCCATGTGGGTGCGGCAGTAAAGTAATTTCTTCTGACAACATCTGCATTGTAATACTATAGATTCATAATTATTCATATGCAAATATACATATGCAATTTAGGTGTACATCGGCGATGAAGAAAGTTCTGGAGAACCGATTGATTCAAGCTTGCTGCTTGCTCCATAGATTTTCATATGGTGGCGACTTGTCCCAAATCCGCATAATCACGTTGGCAACTGATTCTTCAAGGAGACAACTAAGACAACAAGACTCACCAGACATCATGCCACCCATGCCATGGGAGACGTGGGTACATGAGGGAATTGCGTCATGCTGATGCAGATCAAGATCCGAACATCCCGTACAAACTACCCTATAAACTGCATGATCATTCCATGATTCGACATTTGTTGGTGCAGATTGCAGGCTGTATGGGACAGTTCACTTCGTACTCCTTCCTTCCCCGTCACGGCACGTGTCAAATCGCCTGATGGAGCCGGTCGACAGCGACTCGGAGCCGTCCGAGGGCGCGCGGCGCTTCGGCGAGGACGTGGCACACCGGCTGAACGCCACGCGGACGCCGTTCGTCACAGGCATCCTCGTGGAGGTGGCCTTCGCGTCGTTGATGACGCGGTGGATGGCGGAAAGCACACGAGAGAAGTCACCACTCTTCAACGTCTCGGAGGAGTTCATTGTTCAAGTGACTTGGGTGATTTTGCGGGTGGTCAAGGGCCAAGCCTTATTCTGGGACTCATGCCAAGGGGTGGAACGATCGTTCGTTGAATGCTGTGCCTTTTGCCCTGCGATTTCAGATTTCCTACTAAGCGCTACTCAGTTTTTTGACACCAAATGTGCATGGGAGCATCTCATAAGCAAAGCCGGGCCTGAGATAGTCGATATCTTTCGGATTGTTTTGGCATGATGTGTTGAAGTGTGCCCGTGGGAATCTATAGTCCTCCCCGGGCTTTTGGACTTTGGATGACTTTGGTGTTGCAGTTGAAGTCATGGTAAGTCCAGCCCAGCCAGGTCAACTGAGATGAGCTGCATGAGTTGCTCATCTCACTTGTCTCAGGCCTTGTGGACTGTCTTTGGAATCTCGGTGCTGGGTCGTTGCTTGTGCTTGCTCTACTCACACCGAGCTATTTTGCATCGTCGCAGCGGGCGGGTGGTGACGATCCTTTACATGTTCTGCGGGACGACCCAGTGGCTCTTCAACTTGTCGGCCGCCAGGTATGAAGAAAACGTTCAAAACTTCCATGCCGTCAATGTTGTAAGATTGACCAAATTGGTTGCATATATTGATATATATTGTAACATATTATTGCTTGGCCCCCTTGCAGCTTTATACTTGCAGTGGCAATGGTTTCAGTCCCTACCTCCACCCCTCCACCTTAGCCTGACATGTTCATCATATCAGGCGAGCCTGACTGTTCTTCAGGTTTATTATTTGGCCTATGATGCGGCCAGTTATGTTGAGAGAATCCATCATGTGCACGTGGGTCTCTCAAACACGCCGGTGTTCTTTGAGAACCACACCAGCCTCACAAACTGCCTCATGAAAAACAGATGGAGGTACGACACTCGGCTGCTTCAGCTGCTTACCGCTTGTTGTGTTGTGTTCTCACGATTTGACAAGTGGAGTTCACAAGGGCCAGCCGACACACGTTACATTCGTTTATATAATTGCGTTGGGTGTTCATTTTCAGACCCTCCAGGAGGCCTGTGACTTCGGCGTCTCCAGCAATTGCAGCTTGCCCTATGTGCCGCAGCACCACTATGTCGTTGGGGACTGCGTCTCCTCCATCGAAGTTCAAGGTCAAGCCTGCTGCATCTCTGAGACATTGAAGATGGGTAATCCTCGCATGCACCACGGCGAAAAAAAGACATATCAGAAACCCGTTGGCCTTCATTTGAGATGCTTTTCCTGTTGCCTCTCCTAAGTTCCTTTGAACTCATAGTGTAGGATTGCTGAGGTTCTAACGGCTTAGATAGCACTAGCGGTGGTTGCCACGCAGCGGTAGATAGCACGCTCCGTGCGGTTGAGAGAGGCCGCGTGCACATTCCGCCCCAGTGGGGGTGTAGGGGTCATCAGGGGTACTATTTGTGCGCCACACGGTTCCGCGAAATTTGTGGATTTCGATGTCACGAGTCTGTTTCGATGTCACGATTCGGCTGAGGACGTTGCTGGGAGTCCGGTGTTCTGTGAGGTTGGTCTTTATGATCATCAAATGGCTGGCCATTTTGCCCCCGAGCCGCAATGGAAGTGTGGTTCCCACATCGGTGTGGAGACCATGGGAGACCTCCCAGGCAAGGGAAATAGACCAGTCTACCGATTGGGCCAGAGGGTCTCCCTATAAAATGCGCAATCACTCGCCGACCGAGAAGCATCCAACATCATCCAACAATCCAAAAGGCAATGAGATTGATCCTCGATATAGATGAGAACCACCAATCGAGCTGTGGATGCTTTGCTTGCCCGCCATTGAAACATCAACTCTGCTCTTCATGTTGATGTGTGGCTGAGACGAGCAGAACGCGATCGGTGGATCATCTTTGAAGTACAGTGGATTGAGAGTAGATGGCACAAACCCCAAGATGTCTTTTATATAGGGATCCATATAAACCACCTAACTTGGGGATTGTACCATCTACTCTCAACCCACTATATTGAATCGGGATTGAACCCCTTGAAGCCTCCGGGGGTGACTGCAGCACGATGAAGAAGGCACCGTGACTACGGCTCCGTACGTCTCAGACCGACGCTAGGTCGACCGACGGTAGAGTCAAAGATGTTAGTCCACCTCGCTCTATCATGTGTTATCATATGTTTAGATGTTTTTAGTCTTTTGATGTATTTTGTTATTATATGTTTTTGTATTTTTTCTCCGAGGTTGGTGGGTTGGGTCTTGCGCCATGGCTACTTTGCCGGTGGCGTCGGCAGCACCGAATTCACGCACGATTCCTGGCTGGACATCCTCGATGTGCCTCGGCAGGCACTTCCCACGTTCACCCCGCAAACCAGCCCAACTGATGGGTAAATAAATGGGCATATAATATGCCATACAGGATGCATTATTTTTCATACATGATGCATTGTTTTTCATTGCATGATGTATACTATTGGCAATAGAATGTTTGGGATAGCACCGATTTGGAGGAGAACATGTTCCAATTGTCCGTTGAGCTGTGAGTTGCTACATTAGAGCGGGCGGGGGGTTCGCAGTACGACCAACAAAAGGGGTGATTGGGCGATTGGACGTAGAGTAGTGGATGAAGGAAGTCCATGGCCACAGCTCATAGTGTTTGATACAGATTGTGGTGTCCACCATGGATCACTATGGTGTACCCACAGGCCTTCTTGGAGGATGCCTTCATAATTACACATTTAATTGCCCATTCTGTTAAAGGATGGCAAGTAGTCCTACACTCTACACCACTCAACGGAATATTCCTACAATATATTCCTTTAACTTTGGTTTTTAGAGCAGAATCCAGAATTTCTTTCGTTTTTGATGAGGCAGTGGTCTTCAGTGAAAACCTTTTGGAACCCTATGTCCGTGGTCCAGCCTATGGGATCTCGAGCCTGGGGCGGCCTGAGCTGCGAAACGTTTGGCGCTTCCATGCTGTGCAGCTGGGCGGATCAGGTGGCTGGATGGGGCTAGGTGACATCGACACCAGACTAGGTGCTGTTTCAAGCTGTTTCTAGACACCAAACTAGGTGCCTGGTTTGTTGCGTTCCAAGCCTAGTTAGAGAACAGACTAGTGCTCCCTGCGATCCTCTTCGATGTGAAAAATGAGTCGGAGTGTAGCGCGTGCTGCATCGGAAAGTTGCCTTGGAAGGGGGCATGGGTGAATAGGGGCAAGGCAACGGTGAATGGCTCTGGCGGCTTCAGCCTCCCAAAATCTTCCGGGGCCTTTTGAAGTGGTGTTGTTGGACTTTTGCTGCTGTCCCAGGTATGCAACATTTGTTGTAGCCTTCCTTTCCTCCATTTGGTCATGCTTGATCTACACTGCATTGGTGCCTGTGAAAGAGGAAGAGGCCTTGCTGGATGCAGAGCTTGCAGAATTCCAGTCTACAGAAGACACCCAGACTCAATTACCTATTTAGTGGTTGCCATCAGAATCTTACTTCGGCTACTTCCTGCAAGAAGTGCCAAAAGCACGGTGCCCATTATTGTTCCAGCTATGAACATGAGAGGGAGGAGTACCATCCCTTGGCGGCCGTTCTTTTGTAGCTTACGAGCGGAGACATGCGCTCGTCTGTCAGTGGCCGGTGTTATGTTTGTTATGTGTGTTTGAACTGGAACACTGGAGGTGCCCCAGTGAAATTGGCCAAGTTAGAATATGGCAGACTTCCAGTAGATTCTACCAAACTTCTCATTCATACTGGCTGTTTTGGGGCCACAACATGTTTGCAAGGATGGACACCACGTGATGGTCCAGCAGGAACTGTTCGAGGAAGATGAAGATGGGCGCAGCTATGCTTGTCGTGATCTTCTTTGCAGTGGTCCAGTTTTTCGTGTTGGCCGAGCTGTGTGTGCCCAGAAGGGTGCGTACAAGGTGCACTTCTTGGATGACATGGAGCCGGAGGAAGGCATCTTTCAATTGCACGAGCTGCCCAGCAAAGAGGGGGATGTCATGGGGTCGGGCGGAAGCCGGTCGTGGGAGGCACCCCGCGGTCGGCTCAAAAGAACCGGTCGATGGGGCGTTTCCGCACATGGGATTTGGACCATGACGCACTGCCAACCAAATGGCACGCTTTCTTCCTTTCCTTCCTACTCCGCCTTTGGTTGTTTCCCCATCAGTGCTTGCGCACAGCGGAGGCACATCCTAGCACATACTGCCAGTTGTTGAAGTCGAGACGTGTTTTTTTTTTCAAATAGCAGATAGAAGGTGATGAGCAAACCAGGAAGTCGATACACTATAGCGTTTCCTTGCAGGATAGAGTGTGTTGGAAGATGTTTTCTAAATGCATGGTTTTATTCAATGGGCTTGTTTTACTCAGCGTTCACAGTGTTTTGATTGCACAAGACCTACCGCAAGGAAGTTGGCAGGCAACCCATAGGTTGTTTCTAGAGGTTTCTATAGGCAGCCCATAGGTTCCCCCTCATCTTGGGATTTGGGTCTCATATGTCCAACCCTCGGAAGCAGGGTCCTCGTGGAAACCTGGCTTCCGCTGTGAAGCGGGCACACTATTGAGTGGCATGAACTTGTGCCAGGTGAGGTGTGCCCTTGGGGGAAAGCTTGGTTGGGCTACCTTCGCTGGTGCTGCCGGTCTGCTGCTGGTTTTCTGCTGCTGCTGCCTTGCTGCTGCTGGTTGGCTACCGCTGCTGCTGCTGGCGGTTGGCTGCTGTTGGTTTGCTGCTGGTTGGCTGCTGCTGCTGCTGGCTGATTGCTGCCGGTGCTGCTGCTTGCTGCTTGGTTGCTGCTGGTGCTGCTTCTTGCTGCTTGCTGCTTCTTGTCGCTGCCGCTGCTGCGGCCTGGGCTACAAGGCCTACTCATTTGCTGCCTGTCATAGTCTTGCACGCCCTATGATTATAGCAGGCTTCTTCCATTGCAGACGGGGCATTGGAAACGTGATATCAAGCTTGGTGGCAGGCCTGTTTGGTGAAACGCGGTGCCCCATGCGGAAACAAGTATCGCAAGGACGTTGCTGTGACTTAGTCGCGGCGTGGTGTCCCAGTTTTGATTGGTAGCCACAGCTGCATTGCAAGGACTTTTTTTGGGTGTTAGTGGGCATGGGTCTTCTGGGCAAACGTGTTCATCTCGCCCAATACCTCGCCCACATCTCGCCCTCTATCTCGCCCAACCCACCAGGCACCAGGACCTCCAGAGGTGTGCGATGGGGATTGCCATTGTCGCAACACATATGTGTATATAAGCAAAGGCCTCTTCAATTTACATGGGCCCCCCGGCAATGAGCGGTTTGCAGGGTTCATGTTTTCAAGCGTTCATGTTCACATTTTTCGCAGGTGTGCCATGCGGAAGTTTGTCCTGCACAGTCGTTGAAAGACAGGAACGCGCACACACACAGACACCAAAGAAGGCAAAACGCAAGCTAACCATGGTTTTTTCGTGGTCTTAGCATACTTCTGGCAGAGATCGGAAGCCGATGTGCCATGGGGATAATGTGGGATTTGCTCCTGTGATGTGGGATTGGTGAAAACGGTGTGCCATGGGATGATGTGGTTTCTAGCCTCTGCTGGTTGGGTGCTGCTGCTGCTGCTGCTGCTCCTGCTGCTGCTGCGCTGCGCTGTTTTGCTGCTGGTGGTCGGCTGCTGCCAGTTGCTGCTGGCTTGCTGGCACTGGTTGGCTACTATACTGCTGGTTAGCTGCTGCTGGCTTGGTGCTGCCTGCTGTTTGGCTGCTGCTGGCTTGCTGCTGGCGGCTTGCTGCTGCTGTTTGGCCGCTGCTGGTTACCTTCTGCTGCTGTTGGGTTGTTGGTGTTGTTTTGCTGCTGGTTGGCTGCTGCTTGCTGCTGCCGCTGCCGCTGCCTGCGCTACAAAGCCTACTCAACTCATTTGCTGCTGGCTGTTGTTGCACAAACCCTATCATTAGAGGAATACACACAAGAATGCATAGATATTTTTGACGTTTAAAGAACAATTCCATGCTGCTTGCACTCCAGGTAGAAACTTAAAGCTGGTTCCAACATGTGGGTCAGAATCGGGGTGCCATGGGGATTGGATCACGGCAACCCATAGATAACAATTGAAAACATCAACATGTAGAAGGTTGAATCGCAATGGAATAGTGTAGGTTTAGAAACAATCTAGGAGAAAAAGTGCTTGTCCAAATGGGGTATGTTCTTACATTCGTGGGGTATTTGGAAAGGTGAATCTGGAGAACCTTGTTCTGTATGTAGCGTTTACAATGGGGAAGGCCAGCAGTCTTGACTTAAGTACTGACTTTTGCAAATCGGCGTTCCATGGTGGTTTAGTATCCCACACGCAAAATGTATTAACTTCAACGGGCACCAATATCTGGTCAGTGACACCTCCTAATCTGACAAGTTCACCATCACAGACCGACCAGACTCGCACCCCATGCCACGTCTGACCGCGTCTCGTCCGCGTCGCCTCCGCCCTGTCCGCGGCTCCAGCCCGGTATAGCGTGCAGGTGGGGGGGTCTCGGGGTCTCGTGTGTGGGGGCCATCAGACCAGGCACCCAGAGAGAATCCGATGTCCAGAGTGCACAGTGAGGTTACTGCCCGACCTCTCAAAGGATGAGGAGCTTGGTCCTTGCTGCTCAGGTTGGTTGCCACTGGGCAGACTTGGGTTCCTTTCTTTTCAGGGGGGAGATTTGCTTCGATTCTTTCAATTGGGAATTGGATATGCATGGGGTATGGGAACAAAAACGATGGTGAGCATGCTTTTTGTACCAATCAAACTGTCAATAGGGGGAGGAGGAAATGCAGATTGATGATCAATCAGGACTTATACCAGTTTCATCAAGTTTCTACGTTTACGGTCAGCTTTGGGAGTAATTAGTTAAAATAGTTAATTGACAGCAAACATATTGAGGGATATGGAATCGGTTCTAATACTGGCACTTCATGATTCATAGATCGCCTTTTTGCTATTGGTGGGTTCTCTTCTCGGATTAGCTAGAGGAGATGCTTTTTTCCAAGTGAACCAACCGGATCCAACAGGATCCGTTCTCCATGGCGCACCAGTTATTCCGAAGGGCGGGACTGGGCCGGGTTCAGTCCTTTGAGGCATTTGGAGGAGTTCCGACAGGGACGGAATTCCTTTGAGCGCTTTGAGCCTGGGCAGCGACGTGGGACATCCGGTGATGGCACGAAGAAACGAATGGACGACGTGGCCCTCCGAGTGGACACTGTATACATCTGTATACTTAGAAGTTATCATAATTCTATAGTCATGAAACCATAGATAAGTATTTGGTACTCCCAACTCATAAGTATTTGATTGTCATTATATGTCATTATACATTACTTGCACCCAATTTGGGATGCTGACTTTGAGACTCTGCTTAGGAACGCATGTGTGTAGACCGTTGCGGTGGCAGTGTCTGTTTCGGGGTGGAAACCCAAAGACGGAGTGACAAGAATCTCAGGAGCGCAGGGCTCGAGTGATCGACGCCGGGAGATCTTTACTGTGCTTGCAGCTGCCCTTTCTGCTTTGGCGCCTTTTCTTGAATTCCTTCCAATTGGATTTCCTCTCCTGGGGAGGCGGGAGTTGCTGTGTGTTGAGGCAAGAAGCATGTCAGAACTTGCAAGTGCAATGATTATATAATATCAAACGGTCGGGCCCATTGATCGTTTTTTGCTTGTTTTGTGAAGCGGGCATGCACGGCATGGGTCACAACCGTCACCCAGGAATTAATGAATTTGGACTTGAACGATCTTGAGGGGAAGATCGGCACGAAAGGTCGCACGACACGGGGTCTCCATGTGGCACAGGGGGCATTTGGACATGTGTTCCCCCCCACCTTGCGGCGCCGGTCGAACGGTGCGACCAGGTCGAACCATGCTCATCGGCAAGAACTTCATTTGGAGCCTCATGGCGCTCACCAAGATCTTGAGCTGCGGCCGGGCGGAGGTGAGACAAATGGTGGAAAGGAATAAGGGGTCGTTCAGGGGTCAGCGGTTTGGATCTTGTAAACTCATGTATCCGGATATAAGCTTGTTTTTTTTGAGGCATGTTGAATGCGTATGTATGCATTTGTGCACCAAAAGTGAGTGAAAAGTATGCGCTATGTATGGGTGCCACTTCTTTCCAGGACCAATAGGTAAAGATTGCTCACTGGTTGGTACATGTTGAAAGTTTGGCTGTTTAATGTTGTTCATGAACGTTATGAATTTCATGATGAATGGTATACCGGGCCTCAGCCACCCCACCACTGTTGCACTTGGACCTTGTTTTGTGGTGGTTTTGCTTTTGGGGAAGTTAGATGAAGTTAGTAGTTGCCCGGCACATTCAGGGTGACCATCAACCAGCTCATAGGCCACAGCTTGTGGTTGGCAGCCCATGAGGTTTCTGGAGAAGGCGCACATTGGCAAAGGCAGAAAGCTTTGGATAAATCCCAGAGCAGGTAGATGTAGGTGATGTAGGTGAATGGATGTACGTGATTTGATTTGAGTGACCGAGATTGGACCACTGAAAGGGTGTGGCCAACGGAGGAAGGCCCCATTGTGGAGCAATAGGGGCAACTGTACCCTGGTCTAATTTCTGGTCCATCTCTCCATATCTCCACATTGACAGGTTGGATTTCAAGATCCAGGACATACTCCTCTGCAGATTAACATGGAACCCCAAAACCACTGGGTTGTAGAGGACAATGACCTTCTGGTCGATTCTCAGGTTCCATGTTACTTTGCGGGAGAGTATTCACATTCAATATTTGCTTTACGGTGCTCATCAGTCGAAGGCCGTGAGATCGATGTTACTAGGCTAGGCTAGATGGCGATGTTTCTGGTTGACGTGGGCGTTGTGAAGAGGGACAACAAGACAAGAAACCCTACCCAGTTTGTAGGGTATTGGTTTCCCCACTAAGCATGTGGAGAAAGGTTAGAAGGCTTTTTTCCTAGGGCAACTGCTGAGGGCCTCCAAAGAACAAGCTGTTGATGATTTCGGGTGCAGCATCGTTTGAGTTCCAGTGGTGACACACTTCATTAGCACAAGTACAAATTCAAGGGGAACCCCATTTTCTGTGTTTTGTTTTATCCAACGTGTTTTCTTTTTCCAGGCTCTGTTGTCTTCGAGGAAGGAAGGAAGGAAGGAAGGAAGGACGCAAGCTGTGCAGAAGCAAAAGCAACAAGCTACCAAAGGCAGGAAAAGCAGGAGCAGAAAAAACACAGTCCAAATTGCCGGCCTAGGTCAGAAGATGCAGACAATAGCGAAGAAGTGACTATGCCGTGAACAAATACATACTACTACACTTTGAAGGAATATTTCTTGTTTTTTAAAACCAATCCTGTGTGCAAGCCTGACATCATGTGTTTCTCAAGACGGTTGTAACTTTTCCCCAAGGACCCACGCTCATACATACATACGTACATACATACATATCATATACATATACATATACATTTACATACATATACATAAATATACATACATACATATACATACAATTACATACATACATACATACATACATACATACATACA